GGCCCGGTCCCGGTCCCGCTTTAAGGGTGTGTGCCCGCGGGCCCGCGCGAAAAAAGACCTATTCTGCTATATTAGGGTCCCTTTATTTTGGGAAACTACCATTTTAGGGTTTCGGATTACTTTAGGATTTAGAACTTCGGGTTCGGGGCTTGTGTAAGGATTATGCAGTGATCATAGGCCAAGGGTATTTGCCAACTCTGCACTTGTTTGGTAATCTCACATGGTGCAAAACTGTAGGACTTGTGGGGACTAGAAAACCCCCACATGGTGTTATGTGCGCTAAAATACGAGTGATGAGGCCTGCGAAGTTAAAACCCTAAACCTTGGCGTGTGTCTGTTGCCCAAGAGCTTTGGATCCTATGGATCCTTACGACAAAAGCAAAGCCACCGCCCAAGGCAGGGCAGCCACACAGTTATAGTCTAGATTCCTTAAGGGGGGCTATATGGGGGACGATATAGCCCTCTTTATGTAGTGTTTAGGTTTCAGTGTTTAGGGTCTAAACTCCTTGAGAGGGGGTTATATGAGGGATTATACGAGGGGACTATTTTGGGGAGGTGAATTAAGACTATAGCTCATATCAAACAAAGTTGATGAAAGCAGGTCGGAGTGTTGAGACTTGAGATTCTCGAGGGCACCCAAAAACCCAAAACCAGGGCACCCATAACCCCAAACTCTACACTCAAAGTAACCAGACATCTTGAAGGGGAGGTTTGGGGGTATAATTTGTTCTTGATTTATAGCAGGATAGTCTAGAAATTAAAGCCTACTTTTGTGCGGGTTTAAGGGTTCACTGTAAAGTCCTATATTACTATTACTCATATTCCTATTGCTACTATTGTTATTACTCTTGCTGCTGTTGTTCCTTTTACTACTATCAGTATTACTGTTATTCTTACTACTACGATTATTGCTACTACGAGTAGAATGGTCTTCATTTCGCCTGGCCTCGACACAATACGTACTCCGACCCACAGCTTTCGAACTCCAGGTTAGGGACTTGAGCTGCCATTGGTTTAGGATTTGGGGCTTACGGTTTAATGTTTAGGATGTAAGGTTAAGAATTTAGGACTTGGGGGTATAGGGTTTGGGATTTAGGGTTTAGGGGTGTAGGGTTTAGGGATTGCTCCAAGCCCTATGATAAGGCCTGATTGTAAGGATTGGGGTAACTAAAACCCCTTTGTTAGAAATGCCTCGGAAGGACCTGATGCCCCCCGTCTAGGATTGCGAGATGTCTCTGGAAGCTTTCCGAATTCATGGCCCCACTCTCCGAAACCAGGAGCGTCCATCGACCCCGTCTAAGCCATCCACACCAACATGGCCATGCCCTGATCTTAAAATTCCAATGAATTCCTACCTCCTGGAAGACCTAAGCCCTCAACAATAAGTAAACCCTCTGCGAAATACCCAAACCTCAGACCGACTGATGACCCTAAACCCTAAACCCTGAAACCCTGAGGCACCCAAATAACTCTACCCTCTGCTGAATACCCAAACCTCAGACCGACTGATGACCCTAAACCCGGAACACTGAAACGCTAAGCGACCCAAATAACTCTACCCTCTACGAAATACCCAAATCCCAGACCGACTGAAGACCAACCCGGAAAGCCTTCTTAGCCAGCTTCTTCGCGCCGCCGAGTGTTTCCAAGTCGCGCTTCTGGCGCGCAGAGCCTCTTCACCCCTAGGTAGGTATATAACGAAACACCCTTAAATCCTGATGCCTAACGAATAACAACAGTAATAACAGTAGGGATAAGAAAACTAGTAATACTAATATTAGTAGTAATAGTAATATTAGTAGCTGTACTGATAAGAACGATAGTGGACTGTCTGATGACACTGGATGTGACTTGGGTTGCCCCCAGCTATCTTTACCCACCAAAACATTTTCAGGGATCCCAGTACATTACCCTAGGAAGGAAAAGGACCATTTTTATGTAAATATAAGGAATCCCATACCCCTAAACCCTAAACCCTAAACCCAACATAGAGGATCCCTAACATTGATCCAGGATCCTTTCCTTGGGGGTTTGTCAGCAGTAGATGTAATGAGGCTGCGGTTTTGGCATGATGCCATGGCTGCGTGGGGTGGGAGTTTCCTAAAATTAGGGGTACCCTATTATTGGGGGTCTCCATAATAAGGATTGTAGTATTTTGGGGTCTACATTGGGGTCCCCTTATTTAGGGAAACTACCAGGTAGATTTTTGGAGGCTGAGGGTGAACAGTGTATCAGGGTGTAGGCGCAGACATTTAATTTGGAGTTTTTGGGTTGCGTTCTTCTGGCGGGTGTGAAATGTAAAACGCAAGCCCGGAAAGCTGTGGGGTTGAAGGCATGAGGGTTCCGGATGAAGCCTTTCGGGTAGAGTCCTCAAACCCTTAACCCTAAACCATAAACCGTGTGGCTTCATGTTGCATGAAGGCTTCAGGATTCCCGGGGAGTGGGCTCTGTGGAGCTCAGGTGAGAAGCGCATGAAGCGGTCAACATTCTATATCACCAGTATAACCCCAATATACTATGGTAGTTTCCATGTTATTTCCATTATTCCCCATATTACCCGCCAATATAACCCTAATATTCTGAGGGCTCCCCTTCCCAGAGCCAGAACTAAGAAATGCGGCTGTCAAGTGGCATAACAACAGTCCCAAGCCCTTCTGCAGGCGCATGCTGCCCCAATGCTTGTACACTATCCTTTCTGAGGCATCTGATGACGTATGCTGAAATCTTGCTTCTTACGTGATCCCTGTCAACCCAGACCCCTGGGAGGATCTAAAAAGTAGATCCCCTACATAGACCCATCTTAACCCCTATATCATCCTTGTATGATTTCCCCTATGGTTTCTAGGGGATCTAATTTTTAGATCCTTTTGGGGGTCTGGGAAGGGGTTCTTTTAGGATCTTTTAGGGAAATCAGATACTGCTTCTTATGGCCCACGCCTCTATCCTCTTCCGGAACTTGGGCAAGCGCTGGTTCTGCAGGGAGCGCACACGTCTGCCTATGTTCTCTGTACGATTCATAGGGTTTAGTTTGAACTGGTAGAAAATAGAGAGTGGGGCAGATGAGGGCTTTATAAGGATTCAGCTTGCCTATCTCTTGTGAATGAAAGAACGGTACGCTGAGTGACAAAGATGGTGTCCAGAGAATAAAACCAAGTCTGTTGGCCAGGGAGCCCCGATGTTTGAAAGGTTCAGGGTTTGGAGATCCACCAATTGTGAGCAAGCTCTCTGCTTGTGCCCTGAGAATACAATTCTCTCAAGAAGCAGTCGGGCATGTTCAAATTAGTCTGGTGACAGAATGCAGCTGAATGCTTAAACAGCCTGTTGAAAAAAAGGGGAAAACAAAGCTTGCAGCCAAGGACGTGGTGCGTCTCACATGTTTGAGAACGCTTATAGACCCCACACTCATGCTAAGCCCTTCAGCCTCATAAGCTCTAATCCTAGCTTGGTTGGCTTTTGGAAACCTTCAAAAAATGTCAGTGTATAGGGTTCTTATGAAATAAATTAAGGAGAATATTTTGGTAATCCAAAGGCCAACCCAGCTAGAATCCCACATGTTTCTGGAAGGCCTGCAAGGTGACTTTTGAAACCCTGCATCACAGTCCAGGGTCTAGGCTTAGCCCTAGCCATTTTGGGACATATATACAGAAAACAAAGACTCTAGTTTTTTTGCAAACTCCAGCATCAATCCTTGCATCAAACTCCAATTGAACCCTTTAACCCCACCTGGCGCAAAGCAAGCGCCAAAAGGCTTCTTGATCGCGCCCGCTGGAACGTTCTCCTCGGGACTTGGGGCGCTTTAGAGTTCAGGGGCCGGCCTATTCGTGGGGGCACGTATAGGCACAACCTAGGTCTATATGGCAGTTGGGTCTGCCCCGTTTGCGGGCTTGTAAGGGTTAGCGGGAGGCTAGGTTTGGAACTTGCTGCTTGGGATTTAGGATTTGGGAGAGGTTCCAGGGCTGATGCTACTTCAAGGAACCCTGAGGTCTCCCAAGCGACTAGAGAATCTGCTTCCAAGGGTTACGCGATGTAGTGCCTTGACAGATTGCAAGTTTCTCGTCCCGATGAGCTGCCTACGCATAGAAACTGATAAGTCCCTAGAAAACCTGCATTGTTAAAGGGACTCCGGTGGTGTCATTCTATCGTCTGTGCACTGGCTCACTAGCGGTATGGGTGCCTGGGTAGGACATTTACATAGAACTGCCGCACAGCCTCTTGGGCGCGCGCGAAGGAATCATGGTAATTCCAACCGCACGGACCAAAATCATCAGGGCCTGGTTTCCACTTCTGTAGTACATGGACCAGCCAAACATGAGGCCCTGGCTGGAAGCCACATGCGCGATATCCTCCATCACCTGGGCTTTTCTCAAAGTCCCTCGGAGATGGGGATGTGTAAGATTTAGGGTTCAGCCTTGGGAGCTCAAAAGATTGGTGTATTTCTGAGCAGCCTGTCTTTAAGTCTATCTAGGACCATATGCTTGCCCATAGACGCTCAGAAAACTCATGATATGGAATCTCCCGTAGACCCTTGTGGCGACAGTTAAAGGGAGCCCTGCCGACTCTGTTCACAACTAAGGTGCGGATATTATGGAGCTTACCACAGGGGCCTAAATAATTACCAATGTCATTTTGAGATCCATTTGAGGTACCATATACTATAATTATACAAGGAATTTGGAAGTACAATACTGGTAATTATTTAGGCCCTGTATTATTGAGGTCCACAGCCGTCTCTGAGGTCCGCCTTGCCCTGAAAACTTGCAAGGGCTTAGGGTGCCTCCAAGCCGTAAAAGTGTTTGAAGAACATGAAATGTCGAGGAAACAGCCCCTTGACGGCATAACTTTGTGTGGTGCATTTGGATGGCATGATTTCCAAGCGGGGCACCGAGCAAATCGATTGAGTTCCGACTATGAGGGGCCTACCAAAACTGCATATTACTCCCTATACTCTTCAAGGCAGATGGGTTTCATTGCATATACAGGGGCCCAAACACAAACTCGATATAGCCGGTATAGTTTAGTTCTCGCACAATATACAAACTCCCCAAAAAAGGGGCCCCTGAATTTTGGAACCTCCCTGGCGTACTTATCCAGGTGCAATGAGGGCTGCTTCCTTTCAGGAGCCTCGCACAGGGATCTCGATGGAAGGAAAGTTTTTACACAGAGGGTCAGAATATAGGATTCCCATTTTGGGGCATGGTCATCTGCCCAGTGGCTGTGTTCAAGTGGTCGGCGCTCATGTTGTTCCTGCCAGCCGCTCATTGGACATTACTTGCGGACGGAAACAACAGCCCTAAACAAATCCAACACCCTCAACCCTAAACGACGAATTTGGGCCATGTAAATCGTCAAACACTGTGAATGTCAGCTGGGCGTGCATGCGCAAGCGCAGCACCCATTTAGATTTCTTGAAGTTTGTGAACTGGAGTGTTGCTTGCATGCTGTAAGTACAAACGTGCACTTGCTGATTCCCCTAAACCCTAAACAATAAACCCTAAACCCTAAACCCTAAACTGATTATTATTATTATTATTATTATCACTTTTGATTGCGAAACTTTTCTGTGACAATTTGACTGGCTTTTGTTTGTTTTCATTGCATTGAGCCAAAGAGCCCCTATCTTAAGTATGTATACTACATAGAAGAAACTGAGATGAATATCAGTTACTAATAGTCATATATTGCTACTTATACAGCTTATACATTGATGATTCGTTAATATAGTAGTTGATAATGATATTACTAGAAGTATTAGGAACAATGAACCAGGAATCTTATGCATAATAGCAGTAATGGGATGGATAAGAACACTAATAATTTCCATAATGATAAAACATCATACCGTCAACGATAGTATTACCTATTTCAGAAGAATATCAATAATCGGAGCAATTGGCACAAAGGCGGCAGGGGTTAGGGAGTCGAAGGGGGAAGGTTAGACCGAAGTAGGTCTAGGGTGCAACCTTTCCATGTCAGACTCTTCACCCCTTGGGCGCGAGCCTGATTTAATAAGAAGTCTAGAGGCCCCGACCAGGGGGAACAAGGGCTGACCGGAACTCCCTAAGCCCTACACGACACGCCTCCACCATGGAAGATTCCGAGGACGAGCAGCTCCCTTCAGGAGCAGCTCTAAATTATCGCCTCGGCTTGGAAAGCCGGAGCTGGCAGGCGTTTTAATCTTATTGGGGTTAGTAGGGAAGACTGGAATATAATCTCTATATGTGTATATTCAAGTTATTCTCCACGAACCCCCAATAAATGGTGTAGGGTGGGGGTTTATCAGACACAGGTGTTTGTGCTAAGGCCATTCGCGCAAGTCGGTGTGCTTTGGCAATTGCCCGAGAACAGAGGGATCCCTCACAGCTCTTGCCAGCATCTGATACTCAAAGTGTGGGTCTAGGATGTGGTTGGAGGGGCGTCAGATGTTGAAAACAGAGTCATGCTGTCTAGCCAGTACGGGAACTGCATACCCCTTCGCCTACATTGACTGAGCATCCTATCCTGAAATGCCACACTTAACAATTCTGAGTGTGCAGTCTCACCTAGGACTGCTAAATACATCCAACATCACTTTGAATTTCACGTTGTTGATGGAACGAGAAGGTAATTTAGGCCTAGCAGCTCTGTTATAAACCTCTGTATTTGGAATTCTGGAAGAATGTAAGCCGCGATGCCGACAACTCTAAGGTATGGGGGTTCGGATGTGGAGATTTAAAAGTTTTGGGCCGCATGATGCATGATCGGACTGGTTCTGTCCCTAGTCACTAAGCTACACACAAGAAGAACAAGCCCAGGGGTACCATCAGGGACCCTGGGGATATGTAGACAAGGAAAAATATGGTAACGATTAAAAGTTATGTTGCCCTTTGCTGAACAATTCCCATATCTGGAAGCACGACTGCGGTGGTTAAAAACAGTCTAGCGTACTTAGTAGATTTGGGTTGACAGCATCCCTGCCAAGTCAAAGGCGAATTTTAGGTGCTATGAGACAAAGAATGTGTCCTTCATTACATGTTGCCCTGCTTGGCCGCTTACAGCTGAAAAAACTGTGGGTATCCCGGATTCCTTCAAGCCAGAAAGGCACCATACCATTCTACGCCAGGTGCTAAACTTCTTCCTACATCTGTAACCCCAAAGCCCTGACAACTAATACCCAAACTCTGAAGATTACAGTCTTGCCAGTCCTGAACCCATCCAAGCCACGACGCTGATCACCCCCAAACTCTTGGGTTGCTGTTAAGGGTTCAGAGTTTAAGTTTAAGGTACCATAATGCAGAATCAAAGGCAAAAGAACATGGAAAAGAACGTGGAAATTAAATGGGAACTGGGTTGTGGAGGGATTAGAGAGGGCTTCAGGGACATAACTTAAGTTACCATGCTCTGGATAAATAATGGATACTATGGTTTTGCCATACCGGTGGTTCAGCTTGAGTTCCTTGACACAAAATTCCACTGAGGCTCCAGCAATGCCAATTTAAGAAGCTCCTTGGGGTTGCGCGAGTTTAGGGGTTTGGGTTCAGGGTTTAGTGGTTGAAGGATTGGGCGCAAGGGGTTTAGGGCCTGGGGTCTCAAGCTCAACTCTTCTGGCTTGCTCGGTCTGGAATGGGGGGATGGATCCTGTATAAGCCACTGATGAACTGCGATGGGGCCGTTGCATAATGCAGAGTTCTTCCTAGGGGTTCCTTGAATTGATGAGAAGATTCTAGGGGTCCTCCTTATAAGGATTCTATGGGGATCACTTTGCTCCGACCAGTTGCTGTTTACAGGACACGCTTTGCAAGCTTCCGCTGCTGTTACAATTAGAACACTAAAATACGACTGCGAATCCTGTCACAGCCAGGGAGAAGTTTGGGTCTCTGCTTTTCGTCTTCTGCGGATAAAACCGGCACTCCTACCCAAGACAGCAGCGGGCGGTTCCTGGAATGATTCTCCCAAGAGGACAGAAGAGGCAACCCAGCCCATCTCCCACCTGGCGAGTTGATAAAATCCACAGCTGCGGGTAATATCACAACCTCGCCGCCCCCTTAGGAGGAGGGGATTCGATGCCTGGCAAACCTCCTGCAAAGTCGAGACGCTCATAGAATGTCAGGTTCAGATCCTTGCCAACCACCAGCGTCACATGCGGCACACCTGAGTAGAGCTTCGGGCTTCGACTATAGGTTGTTTCTGTGTTGTACAGGTGAGTCTGCCTTAGGGTTTAGGGTTTCAGCATTTGGGAGTATTGTAAAGGCCTGGGGTCCAGCATTAAAAGCTGTATGTAATGCCATGTAATGTGTGTATATATAATATATGTACATGCATATATAGATATATAACCCTAAACATGTCCCCTAGACCTTAAACCCCAAAGCTTAAACCCTAAGCTTCAAAACTGTAATCCTTGATTTTACGTTGACTTTTGGTTCATGCTTAAGCTCGGATAACAAGGCTCAAATTTGCACATGTAACTCCAACCTCTCAAATGGAGAGTTCTCAAAATTATGGGCCCCTTTTGGATATAGCTTCAATTGCGGCACCTAAATTTTGGGGGGTAACAAAACGGGACCCGAAACTTGGGAACTACCCAGATGCAGATAGCCACAATGTCTAACATCTGCGCTCGCCTACACTGACAGAACATGTCACCCATTTTAATGCTGATTATGCTTCCTGAAATCAACACGCACATCCCACGTCCAAGCCCCAATTAGGCTAGCCAACCCAGACCCCGCTAGGACCCCCTAAACGATCCCAAGAATAGAATTGGGGGTCTACCTTTTTTGGATGCCCTAAGGGAATCCCAAGAATATAGCAGGAATATGTCGAATATGATGGGAACATACCTACCAGGGTTCTCCCTAAACCCTAAACCCTAAACCCTAATCCTTAAAGTCCTTCTATACCTCTACTACATTCATGGGCTTCCCTCTTTGAGATCCCCAGAGGAGTCCAGTAGAGTCCATATATCTACCTAAATCAAGCCCGAAGCTCCAACTGGCTGGCCTCCAGAAAAGCTTGCCACGTCCTGCATCTGAAGCGCATACTTTCCCCCAGGAATAACGTGCAACCCCAGGGAGAGCCTGGTAAAGACTACCCTCCGCTGAGAGCGTGCCCACATTGGGTTTCATGTCGCTAGCCGTCTCATGTAAGTTTCAGAACCTGTAATGAACCCATTTTCTATGTTAAACACCATTAGTGATGAGGTCGGGCAAAACTGTTAAACAGTGCCAAGATGTAAATCTCGGGGTATGAACTCCACACATCCCACACACAAGTGGCTGACTGGCTGACTGGCACTTCGCTGGCTTAGGGTTTAGGGCTGCGGGCGTATACGCAAAAATATAACGGAAACTATGTGAACTGCAACGGATAGTAGTAACGTTACAGGGCTTCCGCACAATCTCAATCCCGCCCCGAGACTCAAAGATCTCTGACCCCAAAGCCCTAACTCCAAAGCAAAAGCCCCAAACCTTGAGCCCCAGAACCTCCAGAATCCTAAGAGACATGATGGTCGCTTCGCGGTTCCCTGCATGATATATCCCTTGATAAACAGGGTAAGTGTAAGTATTCTAAACCCTAAACCCAATAAAGACTTAACCCCCAGCCAGAAGCCTCACAGGCCCTAGACCCGAAACCCTCAACCGTTCTCTAAAGTCTAAGTGCCCCTGAAACACTATGCTACATCCCAAGGCACAACAGGTACCGTACACCCCAACCCCAATAGTCCCTAAACCCTGAACCCTATACCCTAAGCCCTAAACCCCAAGTCCGAAACCCTAAGCCCTGAACCCTAAACCCTAAACCCCAACTGAACCCTGAACCCTAACCCCTAATCCCTAAACCCTAAACTCTAACCCCGAATCCCTAAGCCCTAAACTCTGAATCTGACAAAAAGGGAAGGGCCGTCCTTCGGGCCCAGCAGCGCGACGCTCTTGGCAGAGCCCAGGGCGACTGTTTGAGCTGCACCTGGGTCGCGGTTTAGGGTTTAGGGNNAGGGTTTAAGGTTTAGGGTTATTCCAAAAACTCCTCTGATCCCCCTTGTCGGGACTGAGGCCAGCACTCAGGGGCGTTCGGAAAATTTCCCCGCCGCAAGTCGCGAGAACATCCGAATCTGGGAGGGAAGGGAGGTGCAACTCGCGCGCAATGAAGGAAAGTGGATAGAAAGTCGAAGATAGGGTTTTCTGATGATTGATGATGGCACCTTAAATCAAGTTCTTTACAGCCACTCGAGCAACAAGTTTGCGGGGGGGGGGGGGGGG